ATTTTCCTACTTCAAAAGTATAGCTATATTGAATTGGGATATTAAAGCGGCATAGATCTGAAAATGAACTATTTCGAGTTGACACATATTTCATTTGAGACAATTTTTTTATTGCTTTCTAAAATAGCTTTATTGTATAAAAATTTTATATTAAGGCTTCGTTTGGAACGGCTTTTTTACTGCTTTCTAAAACGGAGTTTTAGTGCAAAATTTTTTATTTTTGTACTAAAAATCCGTTTTAGAAAGCAATAAAAAAGCCGTCCCAAACGAAGATTAAAAAACTGTTTTAAGAAGCAGTAAGAAGATTGTTTCAAACAAAGCCTCAATCTGGGTTTAAAATAGTGCTGAAGGGAGTCTAAAGATATTTTTGTTGCCGTCATTGAATATTAGTTGAGATTGTCCAAATTGTGCCCTCTCCAGCAAGTGTAGAACTGTGTAGTGCTGAGGGGGGCAACTGCCCCTCCTAAAAAATTAAAACTCTTAATATAGTAAGAATTATTTATAATTTGCCCCCTATGAATTTTATTTTTTGCCCCCAACCGACCCTTTTTTCACCCAATTTGCCCCTCCAAAAATTATAAAGGCTCTTAAACTCTCGCTATTTTCATATGATAATGTTGAACTTTTCTAACATTAGCAAACAAGTCTGAGAAAAACGATTGTGCAAAATAAATTATTTTTGCACCCCTCCCTTAGAACTAAGGCCGGTTCCGCCCCTACTCTCATGGACTGAAAGGCTGGCAGATGAATCTGCCATTAAGTCAGCTTAAAATATGTTATTTGAAACCCTTTGATGACATGAGAATAATGGAGTTAATGAGTAAAACTTTTGACAGCTTGATAAACCGAAATAATTTTGAGCATATTCATTAATCCCATATAGGGTCGCTGAAAAATAAATACAATGTGTCATGGTTTTTGTATAAAAAATTTCACCAATCCAAGAGCAATCCAATACCATAAATAGCTCATAATTTATTTTATTTTAATAACGGCAGGGCCAATGCGTTGATAAGGATAAAATTACAAGACCTTAAAAGATCATAAGCTCACTAAAAGAACATCATTTGAATAAAAACCTACGAGCTTTGGATCCAACTAAATATATATGATAAAAAAACAAGGCAAAACAAAAGATAACAACAATGAAGTATCAGCAAACTCTAATGCATCAAAAGCAACAGCTCCCGAGCAAACGTCCACGAAGAGTATCCAAGCAACCCGGATCGAAGTCCAGAAAAGGCAGAAACAACCACAATCAAAGACCAAAGGACCACCAAGGTTGCAACCAAGCCTGGCCATCCATGGGGCAAGCAGAAGAACTATCTTCTAGATTTGCAATGACGTCGTTTTCCACGACGAGAGAAAGGGGGACCCAAAGCCCTAGGGATATCCAAACCATACTAGCCTTATAAGGACCCAATTTCATCATCCAGATCGCACGAAGAATCCATTGAATCATCCAACCAATTAATTTGTCTCAAACAGGACTCCGCTGCTCGTGAAAAAATCCTTGACTTAAAAATATTTGGCGAAATAAGCCCCACATGAACATCAACCAAAGCATCACAATCACTCCCCCCAACGGAGGGAATCCTGACCAAAGCATCCAAATGATCAACAGAAATATTGCCAACAACCATCGCAGATCCCAGGAGGGGAGGAACCACAACCACCACACTAGGGACATCCACAATCCCAGGTGAACCAAGGCACCCATCCATCTGAATCACACCATCAACAATAGGAGCAACCAAGTCATACAAACCCTCGCCATACTCTCCAGGAGCATTCAACACAACGCATTCACTCGGCTGAAGAACAGCAATAGGCGAAACTAAAACATCATCACGGTGTGGAACACCAACACCTAACTCTACAACATTCGTAATAACATGACCCATCTCATTAAGTAAATGAGACACAACATCCATAGTATCTCTAATATCAAAAATCTGCTCCAGGATCGTCCAGGACGATCTGGGATCGGATCGTCCTGGGACGATCAGTTGAGAATTTGCTCCAGAATTTGCCCAGCTTTTCTCCAGGTGTTTTTCTGTAGGCATCGTCCAGGCCGATTGAGGCATCAGCCAGGCCGATGTGCACTGTTAAATCTCTTTAGAATGACCTGACATTTTACAATGAGAGCAATACAATGGGAAAACCTCCATTTCAATATTTTGGATGTATCCCATAGATTCAGAGCCAAGCCACACTTGAGAAGCATAAGGTTTTGTGACATATAGTTCCACAAGAATTCGAGCAACAGAAAACCGAGTGTCGTTCGAAGTGGCATTGTCAACACACAAAGGCCTACCAAACATAGAGCCCAAACCATGAAGAATGCGAGGTGAAAAAAGGTGAGGATGCAAACTGTGAAAAGATACCCAAATGGGCACAATAGGCGACTCAACATGAACGTCAAAGAGGGGAGACCACTTAAACAACTTCATGAAACAGTTAGGGATGAAATACGATCAGTGAGAGAAAATCCTACAGTAATTTAGGTCATTAGCTAGCTTGATCAACACATTTTTTAGGATTTAAGACGGTAACTGAAAATGCACCACCCAGCTTGAGATTAAAGAAGAATTTGTGAATCAAATCCAAAGGCGGACGACGGTCCGAAAATTTTCCTACCAACGCAACTCAAAAGGCCCGGCAAGAGACAATAATTCCTCATCCGAAACGATTAAAGCAGGCAAACCACGATGAGAAGAAACTTTGAGCGGTGGAAAACCAAGCGAATCACCAGATAAAGTATCACGAAAAGATTTTGACTTCGCCATGCCATCCAAAAACCCAAAATCTCCAAGCCAATTTGCAACCATATGGAAGAAAATCGCAGAAATAGCTCATAATTTAGATATTTGTAGATGTTACATACAATAATTTTGATAAAATATCAAGATCAAATTTTTGGCAACTAAGCCGCCATTTTTTTAGTAAAAATGCTCGATTTTTCAAGAATAATCCACTATTATAAAAAATGGTTTATTAATCGTTTATAGAGGCCCCTATAACTCTAAGAATTCATTATTAGTAGCTAACTAAAGTGAAAGTTCCTCAAATGATATTTGTACACTTAAAATATCCCATAGTAGCAACTCAATTCAAGTATGGTCAATACTTAGATTGATATGAGCTCGCCAGGGCCAACACACTCACCAAGTCCAACATGTTCTTGCTAGGATCGCATCAACCTCGCCGACCTACCGAACCGGCGAACTTCAGAAGATGACTGGACATGCTCATATGGAGCCATTGACATTACCATTTATTAGAAGTAAGCAAACACATACAAAGCTGCTTCATTTGGGATGGCTTTTTACTGCTTCTTAAAGCAGCTTTCTAGCACAAAAATTTTAAGAAAGCCATCCCAAACAAAGCCTTAATCCGAGTCGGCATCTTATTTGAAAACCTTTGATGTGCATTGAATGTAATTAATGGGATTTAATCAAAATAGACCAAAATGGTGCACATGTATGACAAGTTAGGCTTTGTTTGGAACAACTTTCTTGTTGCTTCTTAAAACAGTTTTTTAGTATAAAAATTTTAATTTTTACACTGAAAAGCTACTTTAAAACCCAACAAAAAAAAAAAATCGTCCCAAACGAAGCCTTAACTGAGCTAATTCTAGTGCTGGCCAACTAGGGGTGTCAATTTTTGACACGACCCGAAACACGACCCGAACCCGACCCGGAAAAATCCGGGTTCGGGTCAACCCGAACCCGAAACGGGTCGGGTTCGGTTCGGGTTCGGGTTGAACAAATCAACCCGTTTTAAAAATCGGGTCGGGTTCGGGTTAACCCAGCAACCCGAAATTGACCCGAAAGTGACATGAAAACTCATATTTGACCCGAAAACCCGAGATTGACCCGTTTTGACCCGATTTTGACCAGAAAATCAAATATTGACCCGATTTTGACCCGAAAATTAGCAATTTTCGTTCAAATTCGGGTCATTCGTGTCGTGTCGGGTTGACTCGGACCCGAATCGGGTCGGGTTCGGGTTGACCCGAACAGTGTCGGGTCAATTCCGGGTTCGACCCGAACCCGACCCACTGACCTGAATTGACACCCCTATGGCCAACAACCCATTTACTGTCTTAATCCCAGCTCTTGTACACTATTATAATCATACGTATATAGCACATAAGCATTCACAGATTTTAACACATAAATGCCACTATTTACACTATCAAGTACTCTGTTAAATTCATTAATGAACTTGTCAAATTTTGACGTCTCAGGGAAGTAAGATTTTGAGCTCCCACACAGCTTCTTCCTCTTGGACCATTTGATGTCCTCAGCTGCAAACTCTGCCAAGTCTCATATTATTGTTGGGCCCATCAATGACCTCCACCAGATCTCTCTTTTCCTAGCCTCTTCAACCCTTGTGGGTGGTGCAATTATTACGTGCGGTAATCAGATGCCGTTCAGAGGTCAATCAGAACGCGTCACATTATCAATTCAATGTGTAGAAATATTATGTACCGTTGTGTATCGATGGCATGACGCATCCTGATTGGCCTCAGGACGATCTGATGACTGCACGTAATAATTTCTCTTGTCGATGAGATCTCGTCATGACTAGGCTAACTGGACCCATTAATAATATCTTGTCGTCACTATTGTTACTAAACCCATTGATAGCCTCTCCTAACTCTGATGTGATTTCCTTAACATTTTTGTTGTCAAGGGCTTCAAGCTGAGCTCGAGCCTAGCAAATGTGTTCGACTTCAGCTCAAGCTCGAATTTGAGTTAAGCATAAATTAAACGAGCTGATCTCGATTAAGCTAAAATTCAACTTGACTCGAATAGTTTATACCACTGATGCTATGCATGTAAATAAAGAAATTTATGTGCTAAATCCACATAAAATAAAATAAAATATTACTATTTAACATACCAACTTAAATCTTCCTTATTCCCTTACAGTGGATTTTGCAATGCTTCTGAAGTAGAGAAATTCCTTAAAAAAAAAAATTTAAGCAAAGAAGCACCAAAACTAATAAATGTGTTACTTGGCAATAAAGAAAGTTAATTTGTAGCTACAGAAAGCAGCCCAGCAAACCAAACTAAAGCAAGCAGCCACATAATCAATTAGCTCTCATTCTTTCCAGCAAATTTCTGAAGTAGAGAAACCATGACTTCTTCTCATTCCAGGCTTCGATTGGGACAGCTTTTTTCCTTCTTCTAAAAACAGCTTTCTAATAAGCTTTTTTAAGAAGCACTAAAAAGCCGTCCCAAACGAAATCTCAGTTTAACGGCAGAACCATAGCTTATAGCATCAATATCATTAGATAAATTAGCTGCTACATTTATTGAATCACATAAGCAGAATATATAGCATGATTTAATCATAACTGTATGTTAAAATGCTCAGTCTCATCCCCTCTGCTCAAAAAGAAAGTAGTCTCCACAGACCTGTTTCCATACCTCACAGCAACCTTATATCCTCCCAAGAACCCATCAAAGCTGAACAAGCCATGATCATCGGTTTCTCCTGCTGCCTCCTTCGTTCGCCACTCGCTGAGAAGCCGGTCGACAACTTCGCCGGCCGGCAGGTTTTGGAAGTCGTCATCGGTGAGGCACATTTGGTAGCATGATTGATTAGGATGAAGAGCAGTCCATAGAATGATACCGTTAACCCAAGGATAGGAGAAACCTTCTCTTAGAACTTCTTCGAGATACTTAGCCTGCATGAAATTATGATTCTCATTTTAGTAAGAAGATTTGGGAGGATATGGTAATTGGTCTTAATCAGTTGACAAAAAGTTCTTGAAAGTTATCAATTAAAATTTAGTTTTGGACAGCTTTTTTACTGCTTCTTAAAGCAGCTTTCTACTAAAAAATTACTTTAAGAAGCAATAAAAAAGTAGTCTCAAATGAAGCCTAAATACAATATTATATGAAGCATGAAACTATAACAATAATTTAGTTAGAAGATTGGCAATATCTTCATTTCATTGCACAAAATTATGATTGTTTGAGCTGGTTTGGAGCTCATTTTGTTGTTTGGAAATAGAAATATGTAAATTGAAGACAATTTAGCTCCACTCAAAATTAAGTTCTTCCTAATCTACTCCAAATTAAGTAATCTCATATGAGCATGACAATGATTCAATTTTAAGATGGCTTGGGCTTCATTTGGGACAGTTTTTTTACTCTTTTCTAAGGCAGCTTTTTAGTACAAAAAATTTAAAAAAGTTTTGTGCTAAAAACTACTTTAGATATTAGTAAGAAAGTTGTCCAAAATGAAATCTTAATCTAGTTTTGAATTAAGTCAATATTGTATCATTTTTGTCAAATTACACCCAACAAATTTTAAACAAAATATGACAAAATAAATAAATATATTCTAATCTTAATAAAATTTTACTTTGAGATTAATTTTACATGTAGAATTTGTCAATTATACTAATCTTAATAAAATGTATATTAATCATATATCATTCCAACACAATTTTTATTCTACAAGAAAGCAAATCAAACCTGCGTCTGACGATCAAACCTGCTGCTGATATCGACCTCCGTCAACCAAATCGGAAGCCCCAGCGTCGCCAGCTTGTCAAGCACGCCTCTCATCAAAGCCACATTCGGCTTCCCAAAATGCCCCTCCAATCCCACCCCTCCCATCACCACCCCTCCCCGCTCCAACTCCCTCATCCTCCCCACATACGCATCCACCGTCGACTTCCCATCCTCGCACCCCTCCACCACATTAAAATCATTCATGAAAACCCTAACCAGCGGATCTGCCCTCTGCGCCTCCACGAAGAAATCCAATGAGGCGTTAGGGTTCATCAGCCGGCGCTCGTAGAAGTCGAAGTGGAGCAACTCGTTGCTCACATCCCAGTGGACGAAATCGCCCTTGTATTTGGTGAGGAGGCTCAGGATGCGGGAGGAGACGGCGGAGCGGAAATCGGAGGAGGAGAGATTGCGGAGCCACGCCGGAGTATACTTTGGATCTTCCCAGAAGATGTTGTGGCCGCGGGCGAGGATCTGGTTGGAGCGGATGAATTGGAGGAGCTGGTCGGCGAGGGTGTAATTGAGGCGGTTCGGTTCCGGTTCGGTTGCGTACCATTTTAGCTCGTTTTCGAAGACCGCGGCGTTGAACCGATCCACAAACCAGGCCTGTGTGAAATGATTCGGCTCAAAAAATTTAGGTTCAAATTAACTTGCTAAATGAATGGGTCGGATTCGTGTTCAGCTCATGCATTCTAACTCGTTTATGAAAATGGTCAGATTCGAGTTGATACGCCAACCCGTTTGAACTGAAATCGACTCGTTTAATATTGTTTTCTATGTCTGTTATTTATTGGTATAATATTCTTATTTTTTATCAATAAATCTAATAAGCTAATAAAATATTTTTTAATTAAATTGGGTTATTGGGTCTAGTTCGAGTTGTAGTGGGTCAAGTTCGAGTTTGATTTTTTGACTTGTTTATTAAACGGGTTAGGTTTGGCACCTAGGTTTGATCGGATTCAAGTCGGATCAATTTCAGATCAAACATGAACCTGACCTGTTGATCTATTTTGACACCAAATTTTTGCTATTTACGGAATTCAAATTCTCATATATCTATTTTTAACTAAAAGAAATAAATAAAATTAAGTATAGGTATCTTAATGTTTTTTTAGGCTTCATTTGGAACAGCAGAGCTCGATGAGCTAACGAGTCAAGTTTCAACCAATTCTAACTCGATTCATTAATTCGCGAGCGGCTCGTTTAACCAATATTAATAGAAATTGCACTTAAATTTTATTAGCATTCATGATTTTTAAGTATAAAGTCTATTAGAATGAGAACACATTTATTATATTGTACTTCAGCACATCTTCTACATTCTGTAATTTAGCTCTATAAAAGCTGTAAACTCATTATTATGTTTGAATAATATTTTTCCCTCTTCTCACTTTCTCCCTGAGCTCCGTCTCCTTCTTCCTCTGTTAGCTTTCCGCAAACTCAAGATTCTCCTTCATGGTATCAGTTAGCCAGTAATGGGCGATCAGAAGTCTTCTTCCACCCTTCCACCCACTTCCTCCACGATTGCCGGATCAACTACAGAACTCGTTCTCCCGACTACTCTCAAGTTCATCATCTCAAATATCAAGAACTTGATTTCGAACACCCTCACGGCTGACAACTACGCTATCTGGCGTACGCAGATCTTTCAACATCTTTCTGTGAACGGATATGCCGATCATCTCACCACTTCCTGCAGATTTAGACGCTCTCTACTCCCTTCTCTGCAGTGAGGAGATACACGTTAATCAGGACATAAAGAAGGATCAGCTCGCGACGACGGCTGCCTACTATGCTACCTCCTACAATCAAATGCGGAATAAAAACAACAAGCGTCCCAACAAACAACGAAACAACAACTCTCGCAACATGAGCACCACCAAACCCATGCCATCGCAAGCCTCGGCTACTAACACCCGTCCCACCTGTCAGATTTGCAGTAAAATAGGCCACACTGCGAACAACTGTTGGCACCGTGTAATCTATCCTATGCTCCTCCGTCCACGACTACAAACCGAGCTCTTCTTGCACAACCGACAACACCGGCTCCTCAATCTTGGGTTCTTGACACCGGTGCATCCTCGCATATGACGTCGGATGGCACGAACATTCAATATCCCATGGCATATCATGGTCACGAATCTGTCTCTGTGGCGAATGGCTCTGCTGTTCCGATACAGAACTACGGTCAGGGAATTCTTCCCTTGCTAGATTCGTCTCGTAAGCTACATTTATGCAATCTACTTCATGTTCCCGCACTTACGCATAATCTTCTTTCCGTATCTAAATTAACATCTGATAATTCCGTCTCTATTACTTTCGATTCTAATGGTTTTGAAATTAAGGATCTGCAGAACCATCAATCTCTTCTTCGTGGACGTCTGCATAACGGGATCTACACGATACAAGTCGCACCACCTACGCCGCCCACGGCTTTTCAAGCGACGACTACCTCTTCGATCATCTGGCATGCCCGTCTCGGTCATCCCAACAACCGCATCTTGAATTCTTTAGCTAACAGCATTTCGAATTTTTCTACTTTACCTTCTGATTTTCATTGTGAAGCATGTAACATGGCCAAGAGCCATAAACAATCTTTTAATAAAAGTTTCTCGTCGACCTCCCATCCATTTGAACTTATACATTCAGATGTATGGGGTCTGACGAAACATCCGTCTTTGAATGGTTTTCGTTATTACGTCGTTTTCATTGATGATTATACGAGGTTTTTCTGGATTTATTTTCTACATCACAAAAATGAAACTTTGGCTAAGTTTAAAATATTATGCAGTTTTCTTAAAACCCAACACTCTACTACACCGAAATTCGTTATTACGTCGTTTTCTTAAGACTGACTCGCTCTCAACTTGACTCATTTACACCTCTCTTGGTAAGCAATTCAAACTTCTAAAATTAAACTCTTTATCAAAATTATTTTATTATTATTATTATTTTGTGCTATAACAATTGGAAGTGATATTCATTTGTTAAATAAATAAATAAATAAATAAAAATAGAATGAATGAGAAAGCATTACCTGATACTTCGAGTTTCCGAGAATGGTTTTAGCAATAGCAGAGCCAAACGGGAAGTCTTTTGAAATCTGCTGAGCAGAAACGGAAGCTCCGCCAACGCGATTCCCCTCCGCGTCGGAAACGTGGATTGCCACAGCGCGTTTCCTTTTCTGTAGAGGAAGAAAATTAATTAGGTTTAATTGGAGAAAAAAATTAGGTCTGAATATGAGAATCAAAACTAACATCGCACTAATTTTAAGGCAACCTACTGCTTTCACAAATCTCATCATTGATTAAGAGATTGGAACAGCTGTAGTATTTTTGTAAAAATGATGTAAAATTATTGTGAGAAAAATAATTTTTTTCTAAAAGTTATTCAAGATATTATAAAAATATATATTCTTTTTAATGAATAATTTCTTTATGGGTATTAAGACTATCGAATATTAGTAAGGTTTCATTTATGACAGTTTTCTTACTAATTTTTAAGGCAATTTTTATCTAAAAATTTTTTTATTAAAAATTTGTCTTAGAAAGCTTCAAGAAAGCAATCTCAAAGGGACGCTTTCTTAATGATTTATAAAATAGTTTTTTAGTATAAAAAATTTATTTTTTATGCTAGAAAACTGTTTTAAGAAGCAGTAAGAAAGCCGTCTCAAATGAAGCCTAAGGCTTTGTTTGAGACGGCTTTTTTATTGCTTCTTGAAGCAGTCTTTTAGTACAAAAATTTTAATTTTTATACTAAAAAATTGTTTCAAAAAGCAGAAAAAAAATGTCCTAAACAAAACCCAAATCTTATTGTAAAAGGCAGCTTCCCCCCACAAAAAATTTCAAATGTGGCGAGAAAGTAATGACCAAACAAAAGTATAATTGTGATATGAAAGTTGCCCAAATTAGGGGTATAAATGAGTTGAGTTGAGCTTGATTAATTAATCAAGTTCAATCTTCTACTTGTTTAGAGCCCCTTCATATATTATGAATGCGAAAAAATGATTATAATTCAAACAATTATTATAACAAAATGATAAAAAGTATTATAAATTAAAAGAAAAATAAAAACGAATCACTTAACATAATAAAATGAGAGATAATTTTAAAATATTTTGAATAATTTTGTACATAAAATCATAAATTTAAATATTTAAGTGTAGTTTATATAAATAATTTTTAAATGACTCAACTAATGAGCTAATGAGTCGAGTCAAGTCTAGCTCAAACTTGCCTCGTTCACTCATCGAGCTCAACTCATGAGTCATTTATCAAGTAGTGCCAAATCAACTTGAAGATCCTAAATCCCGAATTTATTAAATTTCAACATTCTTAAAAGTTAAAAGTTAATAAATTTAAAGGATATATTATTTTGTGCGGAGTTCGAATACAGATAAGTATTCGGTTTTGTGATTGTGAACAATAAAAACGTTGTTATTATTCACCACTGTGCTTTTACTGTTCACCCGTATACTTTTACTGTGCACAGTCATAAAATCGAATGATTCTCTGTGTTCAGACTCCACGCGTAATAATCTCAGAATTTAAAGATAAAAAAATCAAATAGATTAGAAAAGTTTAAAAAAAACAATAGTCATGTGGAAGTATTACTGTTCTTATGCTGGCGTTCTGCTGAATCTCCCACTGCTCAACTGAGAAAGGCTGAAGCGCAGCGCTTGCCACCGATATCTCAATCGCTTTGCTTTCATCGTCATTCTGCACAGGCAGATATATAAAAGACAATTAGGACTGAGAATTTGTTTGGAGATTTCAGGCTTTATGAATATATGAACCTGGAAGAAGATGACAGAAGTTTCAGAAGGGGCGTCGAGGACGAAGCCTCCCTTCAGAAAAGACCAGCAGCCGCGTTTGGCAACTGAAGTGCCGATGCAATTCAGCGTTTTGTCGCCGCTGGTTAGCTTTGCTCTCAGCAGAGCAGAATCTGCTCCTCTGTTGATCTTTAGCCAACCTGTTGATCAAGAAACTGATGGATTAATAAATATCGTCATTTGAGATAGCTTTCTTACGACAACAATCGATACCTCCTCAAAAAATTATCTTGATCGGGCACAAATCTTGACGCAAAATCAAGTTGGAAACTTTTGAAATTAAATTCTCGAGAATACGAACCCAACGACACTAAATACAACCCAATCTGAGCCATAGAAGCTCTATTGGAAGGTTCAAACCACAATTTGGATTACAAAATGGTTTTCAAAGATAACGTTCTTATAGTCGAATCTAGCGGCTCGACGAGACTAATCCAACGAGCCCAAGATCAAAGAATTCTGACATCACTGAGACATTCAAATGTCCATCAAATGGTCCATGATCAAATGATTCAACATCGGCCGTTAATCCAACCACTCCCAACTTCCCCTTGATCTCTCACATATTTACGGGTCATGTCACTCCAAAAATTTATAAATAGAGCCCCTTTTTTCTTGAAAGAAAACCCCCAAGCAAAAGGATTCAAGAGAGAGATCGAAGATCGCTCTTACCTCCTTGCTCCTCCTCGACCCCTGCCGGAGTTCCGCTGGACCACCGCCTTACGTCGTTACTCCACCGGACCATCACTTGAGGCCCTCACCTTCGTCGGACCACCACTTGAGGCCCCGAGCTTCGTCGTACTATCAATTGAGGCCCTATGCTCCACCAGGCCACTACCTGAGGCTCAGACTTCCGCCGGACCACCACTTGACGCCCGGACTTCTACTGGACCACCACTTGAGGCCCTGAGTTCCACCAGGGTACCACTTGATGCCCGGACTTCTGTCGGACCATCACTTGAGGTCCTGTGCTGCATTAAGCCACCACTTGACGCCCAGACTTCTGCCGGACCACCACTTGAGGCTCTGAGCTCCACCATGATAGCACCTGACGCCCGGACCTTTGCCGGACCATTACTTGAGGCTTATGCTCCACCAGAACACCACCTGATACCCGGACTTTTGCCGGACCACCACCTGAGGCCCAGACTTTTGCCGGACCACCACCTGATGCTCAGACTTCTATCGGACAACCACTTCACGCACGGACTTATACCGGACCACCACCTGAGGCCCGACCCTCTGTCGGACCACCATATGAGGCCTAAACTTCTATCGTACCACCATCTGAGGCCCGAACTTCTACCGGACCACAACCTGAGACTCGAACTTCTTTCGAGCTACCAGCCTACCACTTGATGCCCAGAATTCTCCCGGAGTACCGCCCTTCTACTACAGTCTTTCGGACTCATGTCTCGTACCGACTATGATCCTTCTGACCTCCATCACCAGACAACGGTCTTTCTGACCCCGGTCTCCTGCCAATTACGATCTTTCAGACCCCTATCTCGTGCCGACTATGGCCATTCCAACCAAACAAACATGTCTATATTGATTATTGTAACTCCCACCATATAATGCGCTATATATGATGTACTTTTGTGACATCAAGTCAAGTCCTTCTCCCAAGGAAGGGACTCATTTGTAATCAACTGCAAATACTAGTGGATTCATTCAAAATGGGCCAGTTCTCCTGGTTTTTCCCCTTTCAGGGGTTTTCACGTAAAAACTATAGTGTCTCTTATGAACGCTACACCCTCTCTCTTATCTTCTTGTGTGCTGGATCTTCGTACAACGCTAAGATGCTAAACTCTATATTTCTCTACCGCCGAGAATACTTCAGGACACAACAATAATAATTTTTGTTTGGTTATTATTTTTTTAGTATTTTAAATAATTTATGTTCTAGGAAACTATTTTGTACAATAGCTTTCAAAAAAATAGTTCTCTTCCACAATTTTACAATAATTTTTATAAAAAGTTGTAGCTATCCCAAACAGACTCTAATTTTTATGCAGTTAGATATCTAATATTTGAGGTTTTTATATTTATTTATATATTATTTTTTACACATGCAAATTTGAGAGAGTTTGAACATTTGAAGAACTCTAGAGCTTTATTTGATATTCGATACTGACGATCACAACCAGCCACTAGTGTAATATGATCACGATCATTCAACCTTCACCGCTCGATAGTCGTTGTTTCACTTGTTTGGTCATCATCATTTGGCTATCATAATCTATTCCTCATTATCCAACTACCATCATCCAACTGCCATCACCTCACCACCATCGCTCAACAGCTTTCATTTAACCTTTAACCATTATCGCCTAACTAAAACAATTGTTATTAGAATCCCAATATTATTTTTCCTACAGTCTCTGCTTGCTCAAATAAATTGGATGATATAGACTTTGTTTGGGGTAGTTTTCTTACTACTTTATACTATAACTTTTTAGTACACAAATTTCTTAAAAGTAACAAAAAGATACTAGCAAAAAACTGTCTCAAACAAAACCATTATTAGAATGGACTCATAGTCTCCTTATTAAATGTTAAGAAATGACTAGACTGACTTAAGACGATGCTCTAAAGTAGCGGACTCAATGATAAACTGTGAATGATGTTGATTGAATTCGAAAGATGTGATGATGACCAAATCAAGGTGCTAGAATAACCTTGGAACAAGGGTGGATCCCTGGTCAACTGAGGGTGGGCAAGTGCCCACCCAAAAAAAAATCAATAGAGGGGGCATTTTCGGAGTTTTGCCCCCCCCCCCCCCCCACCGGTTTTCCCCCCCCCCCCCCCCCAATCTCTCAAAAAAGCTTTTTGCCCTAAATGTGTCAATCATGTGTCAGTTTTGCCCATCCCGACTTCGGTCTGACGCAACCACCTTCGCAAGAGTTCGCAACATTCTCAGCGTTGTCAGGGATCTCGATGGGAACATCGAATTTCTAGCCATAACTCTCTGTGAGATTCTCCCTCTCTAGTTGGTGCTGCTCATCGGCTCTCTCTCCAAAATTTCATTGGGTATGTCTGGCTTCTCAACGCTTCCTCTTTGGGCGCTGAGTTTAATTTGATTTGTGCCTAATCTGGCCTTTATTTGTTTTGTGTAGTTTATCTATTTTGATTCTGTGAAATCCTTTTTTTTATGGCGATTCAGTTGGAGGTAGGGATGTTGTTATGTGGTGTGTAGAGGTGTCAATTTTTGACACGACCCGAAACCCGACCCGAACCCGACCCAGAAAAATCTGGGTTTGGGTCAACCCAAACCCGAAACGAGTCGGGTTCGGGCTGAACAAATCAACCCGTTTTAAAAATCGGGTTGGGTTCGGGTTGACCCAGCAACCCGAAATTGACCCGAAAGTGACACAAAAACTCATATTTGACCCGAAAACCCGAGATTGACTCGTTTTTTTACCCTATTTTGACCAAAAAATCGAATATTGGCCCAATTTTGACCTGAAAATTAGCAATTTTAGGTCAACTGCGGGTCATTCGTGTTGGGTCGGATTGACCCGAATCGGGTCGAGTTCGGGTCCAGAAACCTGACCCGTTTTTAAAAACGGGTCGAGTTCGGGTTGACCCGAATAGTGCCGGGTCAATTTCGGGTTCGACCCAAACCCAACCCGCTGACCCGAATTGACACCCCTAGTGGTGTGTTGAGATATCTTTTGTTTATGATTTTCTGTGGAGTTCTTTTTTTAACAATTTTTGATAATTTTATTATTATTATTATTATTATTATTATTATTATTATTATTATTATGACGTTTTATTACATTATTATCATTATTTAATTAAAATTTTTCCCACCCTAAAAAGAGGAACTGGATCTGCCCTTGCTTTTGAATGACAACCTTTAATATTTGGTCGTTGAACATAGCTAGCCTTAGTCTGTTGGTTGGAGGCTTTGGCTATTAATCAAAAGGTCTTGAGTTAGAATCTTACATGTATGATGTATCTGTGAGTTTATCTTAATGACTCAAATATTCATAAAAAAGTTTGGTAGTTGACATCAAGGCTATGGCAAGTGCATAGGGTCTCTCCACCTCTAGTTATAAGAATCACATTCTTACCATCTCTCAGGTTAGAACATATAAAAATCTAAATATATCTTGTGTTCTTCTCCATCTCCAATGAAGGCCCAAGACCAAAGTATTTTTAAGATTATGAAATGAAAGGCACTAGCAACTAATTTAGGGGGAGTTATAAAGATAGTGCGAGACATCTAATGATCAACTTGGTCGTGTGTGACTATGATTTTGTTTGGGATAACTCTCTTATTGATTCTTAAAACAGTATTTTTAGTACAAAAATTTAAATTTTTGTATTAGAATTCAATAAGAAAGCCGTCCCAAACAAAACTTATAATTCGATCATGAGTTTTATAGCTATCTCTGATAAAGATGTTATGGCTTTGGTGAGATGCACAACTCAAAGTCTTACAATAATCAAAATATATTTTATTGTTTTGTTTTAGAAATTTGAAAAAAGAAATGTATATATTTATATTAATTATGAAGACAATATAAAAAACATCTAAAAAATTTTCCTTTTAAATATACATAATATGAAATTATAATGTTTTTTTATCATGACATTACATCATTAATATATGTGATTAATATATCTTATATAATTTTTTAAAAAAAATTATACGTTTTGGCATCTCAACACATCAAAAAAAAAAAAAAACTATAAGTAGACTATAGAATTACTCCAAAATTTTTAATTAATCTAAGACTAATAAGGGTCTTTTTTTAATGACTACAGCTTTTTATAAAATTGGTTACAAAAGTGTTAGATTAAAAAAAAATTATTATAAAAAGTAACTTCTTAATATAAAAAATTATTTACAAATTACAATAGTAAAAAATAATAGCAAATATAACGTAAAATAAAATATAAACATATACGTACTCACATGAGAAACTGTATCTGGTTACCGCGGTGAGGTTAAACAGTACGAAGGCTGGCGACAAACTGCCCGTCTCCATTTTCTGAAACCCTGCAGTCCCGTCTTTTATAATTCCTCCGTGGTACAAAGGAGGCTCAGGATGGTGCATGCACTGTATGGCAAAAAGAAAAAAAATAATACATACATTATCATTTAAAAATTTATCCAATTTATACATTTAACGCATAAAATTCCCATCATATTTAATGTTTTAAATGACATAAAAGATTTATATGCATCTCACTCTCCTCATTGAAATCCTAATCTTTCGCACGTCATCTCTTCATTGCAGTATCATCGTGGAACATCTCGTTGCCCTTTTTATGCGAGATATCGGCCCATCATCACTCACTCTCATATCTGTCACACCCCATTTTGACTCTCTCCCTACAGTCAACATGGAGTGTAATAGATAAGGAGAATCTAAACATACATATCTCTTACTAACACCCACCACAAAAAATTATGCTTACGTTTTAAAAACTTTGGGTATTATAATATGCCACCAGTCCAATGGATCCCCCTCCCCAGAACCTATCATAAATTTATTTCATACGACAATGGCCCTATTGATGCCCTTCACAATAAGATATCGTTGCAACTTCCTCGTCATCTCTTCATCACCTCTTCATAGTTGTCAAATGAGATCGATTTACAACTTTTTGAAAGAGAACTTTTCCTTTATAAGTTAATGAGATCTTATACTAAGTAAACAATGCACTTTCGATATTAAATATGTAAATGAGATAGTGTTGAGTGTCATATATGTAAATATTATTAACACATATGACATATTTATATATCATATAACCATTATATATTTTTTATCTGTGCGCATATCCTTTCGCGATGGTTTTGTCTAGGGTTTCCGTCTTCCGCCCTCGGCCTCTTCTTCCCTAACTCCATTTTCTCGCGATTCGATTGCTATGGAGGCTAATCTCTTACGGGATCCTGGTTTCCTTGATGGTAAGCCTAAATCTAGATCTTTTATGGATGCTTTAGCCGGTGATGCACCACCTTCGGGGTTTCCGCCTTTGCGGGTTGCTTCTCATCAGGTTATGCCTGCTTTACTAATTTCAGATGAGGAACTCTATGCTCTTGCTATTCCTTTCAAGTTTGCTTTGGTTGGTAAATTTCCGGCCCGTCGTCCGCCCCTTGATGTTATTCAAAATTTTTTTTTCAATCTTAAGTTTGCTAGTGCTTTTTCTGTTACGGTTTTGAATCAAAAAAATGTTTTGATTAAGCTTGTGAATGACCTGGATTACTGTAGGGTTTTCTCTCATCGATCTTACTTCATTTCCAACTGTTTCATGAAGATCTTTAAATGGACTCCTGTTTTTGATGTTTGTGTAGAATCGCCCATTGTTCCTATTTGGGTTTTCTTTCCTAATCTCCATCCGCATTTGTTTTCTCCTCGTATCCTTCACGGGTTGGGTTCCATGTTTGGTTGGCCTTTGCGTATCGATAATGCCCCGATGAATGACACCCGTCCCTCTATTGCTCGTATTTTGGTAGAGTTGGATGTTACCAAACGATATGCTAAACAGGTTTGGCTTGGTTCGGAATCAGTTGGTTACACCCAAGCGATTGAAATGGAGGAATTTCCCTCTTATTGTATTCATTGTAAGTCTTTGGGGCATGCGAGGGATTGCTGGCCGATTTTATTTCCTAATACTGCTGTTTCTCTTCCCAAACGGTTGGATGTGGATACTGTTATACCTGTTACTGCTGCTGTGGAGGATCCTATGGCTGTTGAGGGGGTGAGTGTGAATGTTATTGATTCTTGTGTTGCGCCTGTTAATGTAGATTCTATTATTTTTCTCCTTTGGCCGATGCTTCTGCCGGTTAGGTAAATGGGATTGGGGAGGCTGTTTTTCTTAAGGAGGATGGTTTGTTGGTCGAGTCGGCTGAGACGGTGAATTTATCTGGGGATTCTGGCAATGCTGAAGTTGGTGCGGTTTTTGATGGTTCGGCTAGTTTTGATGTTGGTTGTGTGGCTGGTGAGGCTTTGTTGGTGCCTAATATTAGTCCGGTGGTCACGACGGTCCAGGTGGATGAGGCTCATCCGGAGTTCTCTATTCCTCCTGTTTTAGGTGTTGGTATTTTTGGTTTGAATGTGGACTTCTTCGATGACTGTGGTGGTGAATAATTTTGTTTCTACAGTTGGAAGTGATGGTATTGTTGGGAACGAGTTGCGGGTCAATGCTAACTCTTTTATTAATGTGCCCGTGAACTTGATTGATACCCAAGCCTTGGTGTATCATACGGGTGATAATTCAGGGTTGAATGTTAGGACACATCTTGATTGGCTGCGTTCGTCTGATGTGGAATCCGATTCTGACTCCTCCTCGAATTATTGTGTGGTTCTTATCCTGGTCAGGATTTTAGATTGGTTCACGATAGTCCTGTTGTTGCCTCTCGTGGAAGGTTTCGTGGGTGGGGCAGGAGAGGAAGATAGCTCCTTTTTCTCCATGACTTTGATATATTTGTTATATTGCTTTAATTGTTACTATTTTTGGACTTCTAGCCTATGCTGCGGGTCGATGAATTTTTTGGGCTATGATGTGGCTGGGGCTCGCTTCCTCCGTGTCATAGCTGGTGGCAACCTTTGGTGATGTCTTCGCCTTATTGGATGGTCTTTTGCGTGGCTTGAGGGGCTAGGAGCCTCGGCCTTTACTGAGCCCTCGCTTGGAGTACTCGTATTTTTTACTGTTTCTTTTTGGTCTCTTTGGGCTTTTGCTCACTATATTTTGTAATCCTTTCTCTATTTATATAATGTTTTTTTTTAATATATATATATATATAAAATATTAAAAATTGTTTGGATGAGATTACTATTTTGTTGTTTTGAAGTAAAATTAATACAAAGTAAAGTCCAAAATAATAGTGCTTGGCCAGTGATGGAGGGTGGTTGATGGAAGCGATGGTGGTTAGCAGCAACGATGGATAGTGGTTAGTGGTTGTAGCAACCCGAAATATGAAAAAGTATTTTAAAATGAAAATTTGAATTTCTGTTTGAATTAAAGCGCAGTAGCGTTGTGCATAGGGGTGCCAATATTTGACACGACCCGAAAAACCTGACACGAAAACTTCGGGTTTGGGTCAACCCGAAACAGGTAGGGTTCGGGTTGAAAATTTCAACCCGTTTGAAAAAACGGGTCGTGTTTGGGTTGACCCGGAAACCTAAAATCGACCCGTTTTTTTACCCGGACCAGTTGTTCCCGCTTTTTTTGTCTGTTCTGTCTCGTCAGTCACTCAATCACGTCTGACAATCACTGCCTCGCGTCAATCGTTATTTCCGATCGCTGCCTCAGGTTAATCGCTGTTTGATTGTTTCCAGTCGCCGCCTCGCATCACTTGCTCGCGGCATATGCCAGGCCAGCCATGCGTGTTAGTCAGACAATTTTGATGCCCGTTGGTCACTTGCTCGCGGCGTTCGGCGTTCGCCAGGCCAGCCATGCGTGTCTGTCAACCGTCAGACCGTCAGTTCTTGCCTCACCGTCCGGTCATCTCCCTAATGAAAGTACCGCCGTAAGCTCGTTTTCCCAACTGGCAAAATAAGATAATCCCTAAATTCATGTCGGGTCTGGTTGACCTGAACCTGAAGCGGGTCGGGTTCGGGTCCGAAAAACTTACTCGTTTGTAAAAACGGGTTGGGTTCGTGTTGACCATCCGGGTTCGACCCGAACCCGACCCGCAACCCGATATTGACACCCCTAGTTGTGCATGGTAGCACTAGGCTTGAGAGCACAGCGGTGTCATAAATTGATGTTACGGCTCCAACCTCTATTCTATAGTAATTTTGGATTCAACATGCAACGCTAGGTGCTGGGCCTTAGGTTTGAGCGCTGCGCCGCTAGGTCATTAACAATATATATATATATAATTCTAAACCTAAGTACTAAAAGCCTCCAGCGCCACCACCTCTCCCCATTTTGATTGTGGCTTTCTCGGGAAAGAAAAGGGGAAAGGGAGAGGGAGAGGGGAGAGGGGAGAGGAAGGAGAGAGAAAGTGACCAGAACCTCACTTTGGTTTTCATATGAAAGTTGTGCTCGATCTTTATAATTCTCTTCATGATTGCATCTACATTATAATGCATTGAACTGATTGATAGCTAAATTGATATAATATATTGATAGACACTTATAGATGTCATAATAATTGATAAATACATATATTTGAACCATCAGCATGAAATTAATAGATAATTGATGTTATTCACTGCAACCTCTATTATAGATTTATAAACTTTTTCCTAATCATTTTGATATTTAATACATATTGATTGATATTGGTTAGAATTATAGTATATTTATTCTTTTGCCTTGCATTGAAGGCATCGATGAGTTTTGGTTACTTGCAGACAGCGGTGGTGACCAACTAGTGACAATTGTGATGGGCAATGGCCAGTGGGCAAGCAAAGACAAGATAGCCTGGCCATAAGTAAAATGATTTTCACTCAAAACTTGATAAGCTTACTTTATCTGAAAAATGAGCTAAAATATTTTACATTACATTAAGAATATTTTACAATGCATTCCTATTTCATCCATTCAAACACTAATATTTTTAAAACTGCTACTGAAGGAATATCTTACATGCATTTTACTTCCAACCAAACCGCTCATAAGTTAATATTGGTTCTAGTTCAATGATTATCTTCCAAATATAGAATATTGTAAATTGTATAAAACAAGAAAATTTTAGGATTATTTATGAATTTTGAGGTATATCTGTGTAATTATCTAATATTATGTCATATTAGAAATGATATTTCTTTATTAGATTTAAATGAGAATTTAATTTTTATCAGGACATAATGGCGAAAAAGGATTCATGTAGCTAACCCCACATAGTTGGACAAAAGCTTGATGTTGTTGTTGTTGTCGTCAATGATAAATGCAGCGAAGTACAACCTTCCATAATTAGAAAATGACTAGCTAGATAATCAAACCCCTAGCTAGTCCAACCCAATTAACCCATCTAGGCCAAGCAACCCACTAATGAATGACCCATGGTTGTCATCCAGTAGCTACAACCATCAATAAAGTCTCTAATTAACAAACAAAATATAACTTCTTATAAATCTCAATGCATGAATCCCAAAAGTTGATGGATTAAAATTTTGATAGTTACATTAAGATGAGAAAATCATGGAAGGTCCATTGATCATTTTTCAAGCCACTAAAAGGGTGGTAACTTGCCTCTATTTCTTAATCGAAATTGAATCTCTTCGGGACCCAATCATGTATCATCAACATCTCATAAAATGGAGAAATTATTACTCAAATGCACACGTCATGTCACCTGGTACACAACTGCGGTACACAGCAGAATAATGATGTGGCGCATCTTGATTTTCCTCCGGACCGTGTCAAATAGCTCCGAAAGTTTATATCTAATTTCACGAATTATACTCAAATTCACGTCTTGTTGTGGAGAGCGCCATTTGAACACTTCCATCTATATCATACTTCACAATAGTTGATTTTGTAAGTAAAATAAATAGTAAGCACTATGGGTGTCAATTCTGAACCCGGAATTGGCGTGACGCTATTTGACACGACCCGAATCCAACACGTTTTTGCAAACAGGTCAGAAAATGCAACTCAGACCCGATCGACCCACGCTGGGTTGCCAGGTTGACACGACCCGATCCGGATTTATGTGATCTGATCTCTCGTTGCTAATTCCTCCTTCTGGTTCTGATTCAAGCCGACGGTAAAGTAGTGGCAATGGCGGCGATGTGTCAGGCGAAGAGATCGAAGAGACGCGACAGGGCAACTAACTAAGCTTCGCTAAGAGACGGGACATGTGTGACGCTACTCGACGCATCGAACAACACGGGCAACAGATGCGGGAAGACCGTTTCCGAGTCATTTTCAAATTTCCAGGTCAACCCGAACCCGACCCGTTTTACAAATAGGTCAACCCGAACCCATATTTTTTAGGTCGAGTCTAGGTCGGGTTTCGGGTCGTGATAAAAATTGACATCGCTAGTAATTAAACACCAATCATGTAATTACAACTTACAACAAAAGAGAACAAATCTATAATAGATAAAGAATTATAAAGTATAATGAAAGCTTTAATTAATTACCTCAGTATATGCAGTATAATCATACCAAGGTCCCTCTGCGTTAGAAAACACAAGACAAAACGTATGAGAACTGAGAAGCTTAAGCTCTTTCTCTAGAGAGAGAAGAAGGAAGAGAGAGAAGAAGGAAGAGAAAACTCACCATATTCTGCTCCAGCAGCAAATGCAAAGTCTGAAGCACTATATAAGCTCATAAAAATCATAGGAAATAGTATATATCTTCTCATTCTCCTCTTTCTTATGCCCAGAGCTGACCAAATAAAATGGAGAGCCTGTTGAGAGAGAGAGAGAGAGAGAGAGAGAGAGAGAGAGAGAGACGGAGCTTGCAAGGTCGGGGTTAAGCAGGAAGGGATGAAAGGGGCAAAGAGAGAGAGAAACTGCCAAATTGTCACAAGGAGTCGTGCGTCTTTAATTATACGCCCGTGGTCTGGATAGTCACGAGCGATTCTTTATGGGAAAGATATATATAGCACTTTAGACTATTTTGTTTATATATTTATATCCTCTAATAAAATATATATTTAAATATTTTTAAATCAAAATTTATTTGCACCTTAACATTAACCTTTGGTTAGCTTTGTTTGTCTATATGCTCATAAAGTTAAGGAAGTAAAATAAACAAGAAAAAATGAAGTAGAAAATAAAGAACATCGGAATTTAACACAGAAACACGAAATCGAGAAAAAATAACAGATTTACACTACACCAAACAATTCAGTATGAAAATTGGGAGGAAATTGTACAAATCTTTTCTCTCACTCTCTCATTTGTCTTTCTTCACCTGCTGCACCATTCTCACTATATAACAGACGAAGAGAAACACAGCAAAAATCATCAAGGGACGCAACTCTTCAAAAATAATAAGAAAGAAAACTGCCCAACCCATCTAACAGCACCGTGATGCTAGGCTTGGAGCGCCACGTCGCTCATCTCCCTATCTCCAGTTTGTCCAACAGCGACGCGGTGTCAGGGTCTAGAGCACCTCAGCTCTCCCTTGCAGCATTTGGTTTTAGAGAGCCATATTGCTTTACTCTCTATTTGTCTCTATGCAGCATGTAGCGTTCGCGTACACAACACCGGAGCAGTTTACGGCTGTACAAGAAAAAAAATTCCTTGTACAAAGCACCTAAACCTTGCAACCCCCCAACGAGCTCAACTGATAGTGTTGAAATCCAAGGCGGCTTATATGTAAGAGAATATTATTATGTGCGGTCAACAGACCATTAAAAGGCCAATTAGGATGCGTTACATCACCTTAAACACAATGGTACGCAATGTCGGTACATAGTATTGCGTCCTAATTGGACTCGAGATGACGTCTGACGACCGCATATAATAATTTTAGAGGATTTCAAATCGCGAGTGGGAGACATAAAATATGGGCAGGATTGATCGCGATTGTGATTAAGATGGAAATACCAAATTTTAAGCTGTGAGGCAGACGAACCTAATAGAATATTAACTTTAAGATGTTTAATAGATTTTGGATATTAGATATATAAATAAAAGAATTTAAATTTCTTCGTAGATAAATCTCACTTCTTTGAAATACAAGGCTTTGCTTAATATATATATATTGAGTTTGCCCACCCTAAAAAAAGGGTTGGATATGCTCCTGAATTGCACCTAGTTTTTTCATACCCAAACAGCACAGGATGAGGCTTTACTGATGACTTTCTATGCTTCTTTTCTTTTCAATCAAAACAATCGCCTTGAACTTGACCAAGTGAAACGCTTCGCCTTTTTTCTTTGAAATAGAAATTCTATTTGAGATTCAATTTGGGACCTTAAAGAAAAAACATGATTCGCAGCAAATTAGATCAACACTTTCCTTTTTTTTAGAGGCGCAAGTGACTGATCCACCAGCTAGCCTGAAAGATTTAGATTTGGATTTATCCTTTTGATAATTGAGTCAGGTTCGAATCAAGCGTCTGGCTTATTTATTAAATGGGTCAGATTAATATTGACCCGCCAAGTCCATTTTAACTCATAAATGACATGCTTAATATTTTCTTAAATTCTTTTATTTATTTGTTTTAATCCTTTTATGCTTTATCAATTAACCTTATTTTATGATTAATAAACAAATAAAATATTTTTTAATTAAAATGGTTACAGGGTCGGATATAGGTTGCTAGACGGTCCAGTTCGGTTTCAATTTTTTGACTTGTTTATTAAACGGGTCGGGTTCAGATTAACCGGATTTGAGTTGGATCAATTTCAAGTCGGACCCGAACCCAACCCCCTAACCCATTTTGACACCCTCTAACTTTTCTTACAAGCATGGCATCAATGTATACCCAACCAGTTTTTCTTAAGCCATTGAAATTTGAGAATGGAAATAAGAGATAGATAGCTAAAATTGAAGCATTGATGAAAAATAACATATCTGTTTACTACAAATGGGACTACCAAACTAATAACTAAAATAATGGAAAGTTGAGAGATATACAACTCGCTTGTGCCCAAAGTAGGGGTGTCAATTTGGGTCAACGGGTTGGGTTCGGGTCAAACCCGGAACTAGCCCGACACTATTCGGGTCGACCCGAACCCGACCCATTTTTTTTAAAACGGGTCAGATTTTCGGACCCGAACCCGACCCGATTCGAGTCCGAGTCAACCCGACCCGACACGAATGACTCGAGGTTGACCCAAAATTGTTAGTTTTCTGGTAAAAAATTGGGTCAATCTTCGATTTTCGGGTCAAAACGGATCAATCTCGGTTTTTCGGGTCAAATACAAATTTTCGTGTCAATTTTGGGTTATTGGGTCAACCTGAACCAGACCCGATTTTTAAAACCGGTTGATTTGTTGAACCCGAACCTGACCCATTTCGGATTTGAGTTGACCCTAACCCAGATATTTTCGGGTCGTGTCAAAAATTGACACCCCTAGCCCAAAGAATTCCCACAAACAAAATGGGTTGACAACTCCAAAACAACTCATGGAAAATAAAGAACCAATAGATTATCTCTATTACATAAATCTTTCCATATCGAATTCAACATTGATTAGGAAAGATTTTATTGACTGATTACTACATTAATTAGGATATTTGATTAATGCATTGATTAAGAAGTTTCTATATTTGTTTTTTTTTTCTTTTCAAATCTATATATGGAGGCTTGAGGGCAACTAAATGTGTAAGAGTGCAATTGTAATCATGTTTATCCACAATAGTGAAATCATCTCTTCCCTGTTGACATAAGGAATTCTTCATTGAACCGCGTAAATCTCATCGTATTCATTGTGTTTGATCATGTGAATTTTGTGTTTTTCGTTGTTTATTTGCACATCAATCTTTAGATTGTCTGTGAGAGCTGACTCTAGAGCCATGGCCCAAACAACAAGTGAAATACAATGGTTGAATTTCTTGTTAAACAACTTTTGTGTTCTCCCCTCTTCTCAAACAACAATATTTTGCGACAACCTTATGATTGTTCAGGTCAACGCAAATCTAATTTTTCACGAGTACAATTTGAAATTGCACGACAGAAATCAACAAGATTTGATCCAAACATCTCAAATTTTGGCCACCAACCCCACCGAGCTTAGCTGGGTTGGTGGGCAACGTGGTTGGGAACCCTCCAACCCACTTTCGATTCCTCTCTCAAGCGGTGCGTCTCCTTAAGTGGGAATAAAATAAGTGCGTGGTCCAACACCTGTATGGCTAGTTGCCACTAAGCTCTCAGAGAGATAATTACTCCACAAATCCCCTCAACAGGGAATTTCTCAACAGAATTGATTATTAGGTGCAGAGTGCGGACGGGCAAAACCGTCCGCACAAGTATTGGGTACCTAGCAGTACCGCTGTACCGCTGGGTACCACTAGGTACCCAGTACTTATGCGGACGGTGCGCACTCCGCACCTAATAATTTTTCCCTCAAGAGAGTGACAGTGGGTAGATATCACCGTTCTTTAAAAAAAAAATTTTTTTTTTGGGCCACCAAACATGTTGTCGATGCTTTTACAGAACCATTGGGGAGCAAAACACTCCAGCGTTTGATAAAATGGTCGGAGTTGACATCCACAATCCTCAATACGCCAAACACCAAACAACCACAGCTGTCCCCTTTCGACAGCATTAAAGATTTTAGCTCAATGGATTAGGTCAGATAACCGATCAAAAAAGCAACCAAATTTCATAGTTTTCTTTTACCATCCGATCAAAGAGAACCAGCTACCGCCCAGGGGCGGAAATCGGCGGCGCCGCTTCTCCTCCGCCCCCTGTTTCTTCTCCCCCATCTAAAAGTACTTTACACTTCTCCATGGATCCCAATCCCAGGTAATATTCTCTCTCTCCGCTTTCTGGTTCGGGTTTTGAATGGGATGGGCGTTTTGAAACAAAAATGGTATTCGATTTCTCTGTTCTTTGCTTTACTGTTAAGTCCGTGCGGCTCCGGCGAGGCCCTCGTAAGTATTGATGTGCATTCAACCAAAACCCTAATGAGCTCCGGCCACCGCTATCTCGATGTTAGGTTCGGCCCTCTTTCTCTCTCTAGCTCTCTATCTGTTTCTACCATTTTTTCCTTAGATATTCTATTGCTTATTTGAATTGAAGGACTGCGGAGGAATTCCAGAAGGGTCATCCGGAGAAAGCCCTAAATGTTCCTTATATGTTCTTCGCCCCTCAAGGTTTTCTTCTCTCTCTTCACTCTCTTTTGCTCTTAGCTGCCAAGATTCAATCAAAATTTGAATTTAATTTCTCAAATAATTTCTTGATCTATCTAAGTTCTTAGGCCTACTTCAATCTCAGCTTAATTTTTGTTTGGGACAGTTTTTTTTAGTGATTTCTAAAATAATTTTTTAAAAATTTTTATAATAAAAAACTGCTATAAAAAATAATAAAAAAGTCAGACTTAAAATTTTAATTTAATAAATGCGGAAAGTTATTAGAAATTAAAAGATTTTCATCATTTATTTGTTGCATCTCATCTTTAATATCCTCTATTTAATCAGATTTAACAGCTATTATATCATATCACATAATTTTTAGATTTTAATGGCTTTAGAATTTACTAATTCTGAAGTTATAAGATTTAATAAAGAAATAAATATCAAAATAGTTTCTAACGTTTTAAGAAGAACTAAAAGTCTCATTTTAATCTCTTAATTTTTAAAATAAGGACCTAAATGATCCTATAAAATGACTAATTTTATCTCTATTTAAGAGTCAACGGATCAAATTGGTTCTTTAATATAGTCGGATATAATTTTGATCGTTTAAATTCAATACTTTTTCTCATTTAATCATTCCAATTAAACAAAATTTCTCTCTATTTTAAAAAAGATTATATAAATTATTATGATATTAATAATTTATGTTATCAATTTCTTGAGAGGAGGAAGAGTTCTTCTTAAGCTTCTTAGAAGAGAAAGAGTTAAGGGAGAGAGGGAGGCTTTGTTAATTTATCTTAGGGGCAATTCAATTACAACACCTATAAACTTATTTATAGGCATTTACACATGATGTGGTATTTTGCACAGTAACCTAATCTAAACATGAACCAAAACCCAATAATCTCCACATTGGTCTAGATTTTACAATCAAAGAATAACCCGTGTGCTTGCTACGATCTGACCGGCTCCCTGCACTAACTCCAAGAGCAAATTCGTTGATCCCAGCCCAATCCTGCTTGCGCCCGACCTCCGTTGTGTGTTCCGATCCACAACTCTAGCTCGTGTTCCCGCTCGTTCTAGCCCACTCGCGCTTGCACCCATTATTGTTCATCCCATGATCCGCATGTATGTGCCACGTGCATTGCCTGCTCATGCGTGCTTCTGGCCCACGCATTTACTCTTATGCAATCAAAGTCGCTCAAATGTGAACGTCGTCCGCTCCTTATGTGCAGCACAACCTACATGCCGCCACTGATGTCTCACATGTTAACTCGGTCCTGATCCGTTTCTGATCAAAACACCAGTTCTCTGACTCGTGGCCGATTGCAACCCTAGTATGAATCCTCTTGCTATTCCCCGCTAGCATGCCTATTTCCCGCGAGCACAGTTCCCGATCTAACAACACACCTGTGCGACACATTTCCGCTCCTCAGCTTCCACGCGAGCACCACGACCCATTCCACTCGCGAGCACCACTATAGCCTAGCGTGCATCACGCTCCACCCAACCGCAAAACCGCGGCCCGTGTAGCACCTAAGCCCGCATGATGCCATTGATATCCGACCTCCTCTTCTTGATTACAAGAGCATCTTCCTCCTTCCTTGCGATCGCCTCAACAAGGCGATGATACCACTTGTTATGAAATTCTTGGAAGAAGAATACCCTTCTTGAGCTTCTTGGAAGAGAGAGACAGGGAAGGGTGGAGAGGGAATGAGCTATAGGAATTCTAAGTTCTTTTTATTTAATTGGACTTATTACAAGGGTCTTGCTAATACTACTTCACATATGACCTCTATTTATAGAGATTTTGATAACTTGAGAATCAACATAACTTAAAACCGGATCAATTTCTAACAATTTATATTAAGATAAACTTAAAAAAAATTTAAATTTATTTGAGATTAGTACTATATATACATTCAGAGTTTATATTATATTAATCTTAAAATAAATTTTATAATTTTGAAGCTCGTGTTAATATAATTTGTATTAATATAATTTATTTTTCTCTTATTTACGAATTTTGATGCAGGGAGGGTGAGCAATCCAAATTTTGTGGAGGAAGTGACTGATCTTTGCCGCAAAGATGATTTCATAATAGTGGTACTCATTTCCTCTCTTCTTCTCTTATATATTCTCTTCTATTTCTGTAAATCAAAGATCTTGTTCTTGTTTTTATTTATTTATTTTAAGATAGAATTTTAATTTATGCTTCGTTTGGAATAATTTTTGTATTTTTTTTTTTATAATTTTTTTTAAAATTTTGTACTAAAAAGATATTTTAAAAAATAGTAAAAAAATTATCTCAAACAAAACTTGAATTTATGTATTTAATTTTCGCAATCACCACAGGGATGCCAAAGCGGTGTGCGTTCTCTCAAAGCTGCTGAAGAGCTTCTCAAAGCTGTGAGTATGGCTTTCATGTTGCTTATTTTTTACATGCAGAGGAAACTTTTTTTTATTTATTTTATTCCATTTTATTTTAAATAATGATGCAGCAATGGCTGTTAATTTTGCGTTTGGTTGAACTTTAAAATAATCTCCCGACTATTCGTATATGGTTATTTTATGCTTCATTTGGGATTGCTTGCTTGCTGCTTTATGAAGCAATTTTTCAGTACAAAAATTTTATGAATTTGAAATTTTTGTACTAAAAAGCTGATTTGTGGAGCAGTAAGAAAGCTGTTTCAAACAAAGAATTGTGATCAATTTTGTAAAGTCAAAAAACTAATTGTGATTAATTTTGCATCATAATTATAATATAAGAGATTATTATTTTGGATCAATTTTATATAGACGAGAGATTAAGGCTTTGTTTGGGACGGCGTTCTTACTGCTTTTTAAGTAGCTTTTTAGCATAAAAAAATGTAATTTTTGTACTAGAAAGTAGTTTTAAGAAGCAGTAAGAAAGCTGTCCCAAACCAAGCCTAAGGCTTCGTTTGACATGGCTTTCTTAATGCTTTCAAAAGCAGCATTTTAGTACAAAAAACTTTTGTATTAGGAAGTTGTTTTAGAAAATAGTAAAAAAGCCGTCCCAAACGAAACCTAAATTGGAGCAAAATGATACAGCAGGACTAAATTGGCTACACACAAATAATATGAGGACTATTTTAAAATTTATCTTATTTTGCAAAGAAATAGAATTTAAATCTATTAAAAATGACAAAAAAGAGTAAAATTTTTTAAATAGAGAAAATTGCTTTATAATGAATATAATATAAATTTATTTAGATTGGTTATTTAAAATATATATTTTTGAAAATTTTGATATAAATTTCATCAAAATGGACTTGTAATATTATTATATTTGCTTTGAAATTGATTCAATACTTTTTTTTTTTCATTTTAGGCCGCTGTTTTTTTAATTTTGCAGCATGAATAATGATTTTTTTTCTTTTCTGATTTTCTTAGGGTTTCAAGAACGTGAAGAATATGGGAGGTGGCTATATTGCTTGGTTAGAGAATGGGCTCGAAGTGAAGAAGAAAGTAGATGATCTACGGTGATGATTTAATGGTTTAAAATTATATCATTAAAAAAAACAATTAAAATTTTATGGAGAATAAATTTAAAAATTATTAAATTTATTTTGATATGAGTGTAATAAATTTTTAATTTATAAATTATATATTACTCCCATTTTAAAATAAATTTATGATTTTTATAATTTTTTTAATTAGAATATCTAATAATAATTGTATGAGTTCATCATCATGATGTTATGTCAATAATGTATGTAATTTTTTTAATGGTTATATTTACAGAGTATCTTTACAATAAAGTGCAAATATATTTTGGAAATTATGCTTCATGTACAAATGGATATAATTGTAATTTTTTATATAAAATTAATTTTTATAATGTTTGGTTGTATTGGAATGCTTAGAAGGGTAAGCATTGAGTGGATCATTGCTGGCATGCTTAGTCAAGAATATATTTTCTTAATTATATTTAAATACATGCTCAATATAAAAATAATATGCAAATATTAATTTTGCTAATTAGCAAAAATGTATTACTATAGTATCTTCGAGTGTAATTTCTAATTTTGAAATTTAACATGTATCGAATGTAAAAGTTAACAACCTATTATATGAAGAATTGAAATGATGATGAGGGGAAAAAAAATATATAATTCTTATATGAGAAATAAATATATGATGAGTGAAAGTCAAGAGTTACATGTTTCATTCGGAAGCGAAAGGTCATATTTGTATATATGTAGGTGCATCAAAATTGTCATAATGAATCATAGCGATTATGTGAGGGTAATATCGAGTTCATGAGAAAGATATTGTACCCATGTGAGTTTAGTGATTAGAGAGACAATCGCCTGATATTTGGCTTTCGTAGAAGATTGAGTTGCTATGTGGTGCTTCTTGGAGTTGTAGGAGATTGTATTGTAGCCTAGGATAATAATGTTAGTGCTTGTAGGTGCTTGATTAATAATGCTCGTATCAAAATTGACATATGAGAATTCATGAAGTGAGAGGGTTGAGTTTTTATGAAGGAATATACTATGGTTGATGGTGGTACAGTGATAGTGGATAATGTATTCAGCAGCGATCTAATGGTTAGTGATTGTTCGATGCATGAACTAAGAGTTTGTTGATAGAAAATGCTATATCAAATTAGGTGATAAAGAGAATGAGAGACATTGAAATATGTTAATAGCAAAGAGATATTCTAAGGGACTAGTGAAAGAGATGTCATCAAGAATTGTAGGCATATGAGTTAAAGATATAGGAGTAGTGACGTCTTTATAGATTACTATATTTGTGAGTGTTAAGAGATCATGAATGTACTTTTGTTATGATAAGAGGATACCATGGTTTGAGGGGATGACTTCGATACCAAGTAAGCAAGAGAGTTTACACAAGTCTTTAATAGAGAATGATGAGGCCCCTTTGGTGAGAAATTATTGAAGAAGTTTCACATTACTCCCAAAGAGCATGAGGGCATTAATATAGGCAATGAGGTACATATGAGATAATAATGGGAGCAAATGAAATGTGACACTACAGGAAAAATGCCGATTACCGGCTGTTTATTGACCTCCGGTTTTAACGGCGGTTTAGCCGTCGGCTTTTACCGTCGGCCTAACCGGTGGGTTTGTTCTGTAAAGCCGCCGGTACTAGCGACAGTCTAAAAACCGCCTTCAAATCGCCGGACGTCAATAAAAACTAGCGGTTTAACGGCGGCTAAGCCGCCGCTGATAAGTTATAATGGTACCGGCGGTCCGGACCGTCGGAATACCGCCGGTAAATGCCCTAAAATGAACAGACCTGCAACTCGCATTTCATTTCTATTCTCTCCTCTCTCTCGTTTCGGTCGCTCTCCCGTCGCCTCCGCCCGCATCGCTGGATCGTGCTCCGTTTGTCGCCGCCGATGAAGTATCTCTGACCGCCGACCCCACACCGGCCGCCTCTCGCTCGGTCAACCTTTGCTGTCACTTGCCGCCGTCGATCTCACTTCGAATCTCACGCCGCCGGCTGCCCTAGGTTTCGTTTGAGTTGAACAAAACTCAGTAATTTAAGGTATTCTTTAACGTTTTTCTTTGATTATTTGTTCTCACTAAACATTTGCAAGAGTTTTTAGTATTTCGGATGATTTAGATAGTAATTTTGACATATGCAAGAGGTAATGTTGTAATCATTTGGGTAGATCTAAATTTTTTATTTATTAAGTGTTAATTTAGTAATGATAGATCTAATTTGTTGATTGTGAGAGGGGTAGAGAGAGCGAGAGAAAAGAGAGGGAGAGTGAGAGAGAGAGAGAGAAAAGAGAGGGAGAGGGAGAGAGAAAAGAGAGGGAGACTGAGAAGAGAGTGAGAGGGAGAGAGAGAGAGAGAGAGAGAGAGAGCGAGAGTGAAACGAGAATATATGTGAAAAGTTTGGAGTAGCTCCTGTGGTACATAAGATTAGATAGAGTTGCCTTATTTGATTTGGTCGCATAATTGTTAGATTTGATACATGTTAAGAAAGTTGTAGGCATCAAAATGAACTTTTATTCTTTAGATGCATGTAAACGAGTTTAATTTCATGTAGTTGATAGTTGATGTAGATGATTAGTTTGTGTTGATTTGATACATGCCATGTGGTGGGATAAAGAATTGATATTGTTGTTGTTGTTGATAGTTGATGTAGATGGTTAGTTTGGTCCGCTTGTAGCCCTATGTGATCACACATAAGATAGATGCGTTAATAAGATAGTTTGGTCCACTTGTAGCCCTATGGGATCACACATAATATAGTTTGGTTCGCTTGTAGCCCTATTGGATCACACAAGCTATTATATAGCAACTTTCTTGGGTTAATGTCTTTTGCTCTGGAGATCAATTTCATTGAAAATTAAACTATGAGTAAATCCACTCATCCACCTAAATTATAACACATTTGCACATGCATGTATTCTAATAAATATTTTGATAACTATGTAGGGTGACGTTTGCTTCAACGTACAAATGACTATCCAAGAAGAGAGATATTGGATGTATAACAGATTGTTACCGGGTCAAAAAGGATTGACATGTATAACAGATTGTTACCGGATCGAAAAGGATTGATAGTTGAATTTATAGAGGGAGTTTAAACTTTTATTCAAGTTGCATCTCAACTGCCTTCCTTTCAATATGATAAAATGTTTAGATGTCCATGTTCGAAGCATAAAAATCTAGCATTTTGAAGCCCGATGATGTGAAGCTTGATTTATATCGTAGGGAATTTCTTCTAAACTACTGAATTTGGACATCACATGGCGAATACGAGCCACACAGAGATGCTCATGCCATCTCAGGGACATGTCCACGAACATTAGAAAGTCTGGGCAGCGTCCTAATTGGATTGGAGAGGGCGTTTGGGCTGATTTGAGTAGTGCTTGGGCGACCCCTGAGTTTATAAAAATGAGAGAGTATAATAAACAGAATAGAGCCTCTAACTGTGTTTGTTTAGGAAGCTCTCTTCATACTGGTGGATCTATACCTCATACGGAACATAGGCGGCGACTGGTAAGTGTTTTGAATTAGTTTATTACATATATTTATATTATTATAACTAAGCATCAAATTTTCAGAAAGAGCACATTAGTTGGGAGCCAACACCATTGGAGTTGCATACAAGAACTCATCAACATCAAGCTGATCATTAGTGGGTTGATGAGAAGTCTAAGAAGGCTCATGTGAGTAAATTTTTTTGGAGTTTTAGAATAAAAATTTATTTTAATAAAACTAATTGTAACTTGCAAGATGATTTTGTACGAGCTAGAGAAAGTCGGCAGTCAATTGGCGAGGGATCATCTTCTGGATCGGCCCACATTTCTAAGTATCAAACATGGTCATAAGTTATTGGTGGAAGACAAACGGGGAGGGTATATGGCATGGGTTCACAGGCTTATGTTATTGAGGGCAGTTCATACACCTCTGCATTTCATGATCCAAGTGGAGCTGAAGAATCTGTAAGCAAGAGGGTTGCAGCGCTGACTAGGGAGATTGAAGAGATGAGAAGGGTTCAATCTAGAGAGATTGAAGAAATGAGAAAAGTTCAAAATGAAATACTAGCAGAGCTGCAATCATATAGAGTTGAAAATCAAAGGAAGAATGAGCAAGAGGAGCAGCTATCTCCAGACAGTGAGGATACAGCTGAGGATTAAATCTTTTTTATGTTTGATGGTTGTATTTAGAACTTGTGATTGTAACCTTATTGAATTTAAAACTTGGTGAACTTATTTTATGTTTGATGAACTTATTTAGAACTTCTTAATGTTTGATTGTAAAATTGTTTGTTTAATTTGTGGTTATGTATATAATTGTGATGAATATAGCGGCGTGTTGCCCAAAATATCTTATTATCTATTGCGATTTCTGCAGGTTTAGAATTTAGGGTGAACATCCCTCAAATAGAGGGAATGCTGTCAATTTTTTTTTCAGATGCTACAGGTTTTCGGCGGCTAACCGGCGGTTTGGCCGCCGGTAACTACGATACCGGACGGCTTAAGCTATGCTGCCGGTAATTCCCTTAAACCGCCGGTACTATACCGACGGTTACCGATGGCTTCCGGCGGTTATTCGTTGAAACCCGGCGGTGTATGCCGCCGGTAATACCGTCGGCCTTGACCGCCGGCGCCGTCGGTAAAATAACCAGCGGTGTACCGACGCTAGCCGGCGGTTAAGCGAACACACGACGGCCTCTTTAACCGCCGGCAAACCGTCGGTAAAGTGACCGTTGGTTAGCTGTCGGTAATATAACCGGCGGCTTAACGGCCGAAGAACCACCGGTTACAAATCCGGTATTCACCGGCAGCATACGCCGCCGGAAAATTGCCGCTGTTTGCTTATCATGGTTCTCCTATTATAGCTTACTGGAGTAGCACCTCACGTTCTCTGACTTGGGCAGTCTGGCGTAACAGCCATATGCGGCTGGGGCAGTATTTGCCCCCTTATTCTCCATATATGCTGTAATGAAGCTTACAGTGACATCAATGTGAAAGCATTCGCTTGAAGCCATTAATGCTTCCTTTATTTCTGCATCTCTTCTAATTCCTTTTGCAGGTGTCCTCTCAATATTTACAGAGTATCTTTACAATAAAGTGCAAATATATTTTGGAAATTATGCTTCATGTACAAATGGAT